CCTTCCCCTTCCCTTTTCGTGAGTCTGGATAACTTCTTTTGACTGAATTATTCCACTCTGGTTCTTATTGTTTTGCTGGCTTGTTTTTCATAGGCAAGGGAACTACACAAGATGCAGTGCTCAATACGTAGCATGCGGTCTCCTCTCAATTTTTTCTTTATGTTAGAGTAACCCTGGCTGGAGCCCATCCCAATTCAAGACCACCAAGTGGGGAGTGTAATATTAATTGAGGTCACATCAAGCCCTCAATTCCCTTCCCTTTTTATGCTAAAAAAAAAGCAGCGATCACCTGTTTAACCTACTATGTTATAGGCCCTTGTTTTCATTCTTACCCCGATTCCTATTGTTAACATGTTTTTATAGTGTAACAATTATTTTTCCTCTTAACTGCTGAAGCTTTTCTCATTTTGATAAACTGAACTTATGTGATATTCACAAGACAGCGGAATATTATGTATTTAGAAACCTGTGACAGCAATCACCGTGCTTTGATTTGTCCTCTTTTGTAGTTTCAGCTGTATATGATTCTACACTGAACTTTAGAAATAATGAAAATCCAACTGTGCTGGGAGTTTTAAATGGGAAGAAATACCATGCAGATTTATATGTAAGGCAAGTACCTTTTCCCTTTCTTAGCATATTTAAATGGTACAGTGTAGTAGTAATTCAAAAGGAGCTATGGTGAAAGTGCATTTATGGCATTTTTGATTAAGCTCTATATATCTTTATTTTGGAGCATACCCACATTTACCCACTAATACTTCTATTTATTTATTTTTTTTGAAGTCTTGTTGCTTACATTCCACCATAAATGAAAGTAAGCAGGGTGGTTCTATGGTTTGTTTTTAGTTCTTCTCTTCACCCTTTGCTCTCTTCTTCAATATTTCTAGGCGGATTCCATTAGAGGAGGTTCCAGAAGATGAGCAGGAATGTTCTAATTGGCTTTACAAACTCTATCAAGAGAAGGTTGGTTTATTATTTAACCATTCTTATGACAAGTAACACTTGACATGGATCATAGCATCTAAGGAAGCAGCTTTTCTTGCCACTGTTGTATTAAATTGACCTTCTCAATGCATTTAAAAAACAACAGCTAGGAGGCGTGCATGTAAAGCTGAGAAACTTAAAGAGCCTGCTGCTTTCTTCTGTAGCACAAAACATGTTGCCACTGGATCATTGACTATTGGATTGTGTCCCAGATTGTGCACAGGATGTTCTGTATAGAATTATTTTCTTTTCTGTTTTCCTGCCTGTTTTCCACTCTCTCAAGTTAATCAACTATTTGTGCATAATTGACTGATAATGCTAAGGCAGTATTAAGCAGCTGTGCTTCAAAGAGAAAAATTTTATTTCCCATTTCTGCCTCCCAGGATGACTAGTATCCTTCAAAAGTGGTGGTGCAAACCTCTCTGAGATTTTTAAGTAAATTCTTCTGCGGAAAGCCATATTAAATAAAAGTGAAACATGTAAGTCCAAAATATAACCCTAATAATAAAACATCCCATAGAGGAACATGGTTGAGATTGTAACTAGATCTTGAGGATGTTGCTGGGCATAGAATCACAGAAAGGGAAAGGGCCCATTCTGTCCATCAAGTCTAGCTCCCTGTTTAGTGTGGGAATCCAAATTGTATTCCACTAGTTGTCTAGTAGGCTTCACTTGACCTTTGTCTATGAAGAGGAGCCTACCATCTCTCTTTGACTGCACTGTCACCGCTGTTACTTTTAAGAAGTTTTTTCTAACACTGAATTGGAATCTGCCTTCCTCCATATGTGTAAATGGAGTCAGTGTGAGCAGTTCAGTCATCTTTCCATCCTACTTGGGGAAAAAATAGTCTGTGTATCTCAGGAAATACAGGAGTCATCCCTTGGTTTCAAAAACTTATTTATTCATTATTGTGTTTCCTTCTTCAAAACACTTTTTTAAAAAATGAGAAAGTGAGAGGAAAGGAACTCACAAAGGAAAAGAGCAGATATTGATTAGAGCGTGTTGGTCTTTGTCCAAGAAAAGGCATAGGTTTGTACCATATACTTGAATTTTAACATTATGGCAAGACTTAAGTATATATTAATGTCTGAATATCATTTTAGAGATGCAAATGAGATTGAAGTTTGATTGTTTTGGATTTCAAATCCACATTTTAAAAACTATGTTGACTTTAAATAAGTAATTTATTAATTAATACTTTTAATGCAGTAGCCATTCCATCTTGCATATTTATTGGTTGATAGTACATTCCAATTGTTCTATTGTTAAAAAAAATTCCATATTGAGATCAGAAACTAATTGCTTAGTTGGCTTAAAGAGAAGAGCTCATTGAAACTGTAGAGTTTGTAAATGAGGAAGTGCAGTTTAGTGGACTGGAGGAATAGTATATTCAGAAGCATTGGGTTTGTTTCTTCTTCTGTGACACTGCCCTAGAGGAACAGAAATACCAGAAATAGGGAGAGAAATCACACTTCCTGCTTGTAGTGATGAATTTAGCACATAACCAGCTCTTCCCCTTGTTGTTTCAACTAGGATGCCTTTCAAGAAGAATACTACAGGACAGGAACCTACCCAGGGACCCCCGTTGTGCCAACCCGGCGGCCATGGCCTCTCTTGAATTGGCTTTTCTGGGCCTTATTGCTACTCTACCCTTTATTTAAGCTGCTCATCAACATGATCAGCAGTGGCTCATCCCTGACACTTGCTACTTTAGCCTTTGTCTTCATTGCAGGTGAGTTATTTACAGGCATAAGGCTGTATCTAAGAGGAAGGCCCTCTTTACATTCCGCCTAAATCTCTTGCATTCAGCATCTAGATGTGGACAGATGTATTTGAGCGGGAGGAGTAAGGTTGTGTCTTGGTGACCCCAGTTTAACTCTGGAGGCAGAGGAGAAATTGGGTGACCTAAATTTCACCACACTGTTGTCCTACAAATTACTTGTGCTTTTTAAAGTTTGCATAACTGGGCCGGAACTGCACTAGGAAGTGTAGAGAAGAACACTACAAACCTAGCAAATTTTCAAATGTGTGGCTTGTTGTTTTTCAGATCCAAGGAAGGATTGGGCTAACTTTATTTTTTATGTTTCCTTCATTTTTTTCTTCCTTAAAAATACCATTTGAGAGGGATAAAATGCCTTTTGAGTAGAATGCCATTCTCAGCTCAAGTGTAGCTTTAAGGATTTTTCTTTTATCACATAAATGCTTTTTTGTGTGAATATATACACATACATAAACATATAGGTAGTCCTTGCTTAGCGATCACAACTGGGACCAGCAGCTTTTGGGTCGTTAAGTGAAGTGGTTGCTAAGTGAAACTGTGACTGTGTTTATGATCCTACTTCAACTTTCCTTTGCTTTACAGATCTGCAAAGGTCATAAATGCAGGGATTGGTCACAAAGTTCCATCACTGTTGTAACTGTGAATGGTCACTAAAGGAGACAGCCACTAAGTGACAACTACCTTTATTTTACAAATCATTTAAATCCCTGATCGGCAACCAGTTTTGCCAGTGAATTCTTTCATGGTTACATTATGATCTGGATGGCCAGTCATCTATTTAATTCTGTATGTTTAAGAATTTATCTTGCTCTACATCCTACTACTATTTTGTAGCGAAATTGTTATAAACTGAAAGTGCTTTGGCCATTGTCTAGCAGTAGTATATATTGTTTTGTTGTTATCATGAAACTCTGGATGGAGCATGCATTATCATAGGTGGGCAATTGGTTCTGATGGTGCTAGTTTTCTGTCAAATGAAACTTATGTTTCTAAGCAATGTTGAAGAGGAAATTGTAGGACTATATGAGTAGAGAGGTACCAAGTGTATGAGGGCAAGCTTAGGGAAGTTCTCATTTCCAAATTATCTAAAAGGTGCTCTTGAAATCCTCCGTTTCGTGTTCTCTTGGTCATCTTCCCCATCAACTACTTGTTTATTTCTTCCTCTAGAGCAGTGTTTCAGCCCATGCTGGCTGGGGAATTCTGGGAATTGAAGTCCACACATCTTAAAGTTGCTAAGGTTGAGAAACACTGCTCTAAAGGCTGTAGGTGAGAGCCTCTTCACCTGAAGTAGGAGGATTACCATTATATAAGGAAGGCAAAATATTTAGGCAAGAGCCTACCTCTCATCTCACTAGTTCTTGCTGAGCTTAATGATCAAATGTGCACTTTAGTTAACTCTGTAGAGCACTGAGTTAGGAACAAACAGTGGACAGCCTGGAACTGCAGCAAAATACATTGTTTCTTCTTTTATCATGTGTGGAATTCCTTGTTGATCACCAGAGCTATGCATGAATTTTGAACAGTGCGCTAATAAAAGCAGACATGACTTCCTCAGGCTCATGTCAAAGTCTGAAATAAAGAGTTGGCTGTTTTAATTAGTAGGAGACAGGCGTTCTGTGCTTGTGTTAAGTCCCAGGCAATTCCTCCAAATAATGCACTCATTGATTATAGCATTTAAAAGCTTAGCTTGAATGCTATATGCCAAATATTAGAGATATAGTTATTTTCTGTATTGGTTATAGAATTGAATGGGTAAGCAGAGTGGTATGGATGGAAGATAACTGAATCAGGAGGATGGGAAGCAGGGCCTACAGAATCATGCTGTGGCTTTGCTGGTGTCAGTGGGTCACAGTCCTTCCCCTGGACTCCTTTACCATCTTCTCTCTCTTGCTGTCCCTTTGTAAATCCATTTTTTTCTGTAAATCTGTTTTTTTTTTCTGTTGCATGGCAATTTTTTTATAAATAAATATTTTTGTTTTGTCCCTCATGAAGTCAACCATTGCAAGTATCCATTTCTAGGTACTGTAACATGCGATTTGGCACGAACCTAACAATATTTTCTATAGCCCAGATTTTCTTTTTCTGAATTAAGACACTGGAGTAGGACAAGAGGTCAGTACTATAAGTTGGGGCTGTCAGAGAACAAAGATACAAGAGTTTTCCTCTTTACAGTTTATATAACTGAAAACTCCATTGTGATCTCTGTACATAGTTTTATACCTGACTCAAAGGAGAACATGACTGCATCAAAGTAACCTACATTCTGCACCAGTTTTATACATTGACCAAGTTATGCTTATGTATTTACTGTGTAGGTCCATAAAGGTGCAGGGGGTACTGCTAGCTATTGGAAATTCTTTCTGTGGTTGATTTATTTGGTCATGGTTAAAATAGTATGTTGTTATCTCTGGTCCCTTAAATGACTTTGCTGATCAGGACTGAACAACAAGGCTTTAAGGATTTGTTTATAGATAAGATTTATACATAAGAGATGGGATATGGGAAGAAGAGATCATATGCTGTATTTTAAGAGGAGGTGGTAAGTTACTAAAATTGTTTATACTTGTGATGAACAGGGGAAGTCATTTCTTTGTATATTTCTTTTGTTTTTCTTGACTATATTCTTATTTTTTCTTTTCTATTTTCTTTCTATTTTTTTTCTTTTCTGCACTTTCTGTTTTTTCTTTAGTTTGTAATAGTTTTTATCTAAAATAAAATTACTATTAAAAAAAGGAAACTCTTTCTGTCTAACAACATCATCCTAACATGCAGTAGCATTTGTTTTTAAGGATAAGTGGAATCAGTATCAGATCTTCCATTTGTGCAGAATACACACAACCATGTTCATATGTAGAGTGGAGAATAAATATATGCTTTCTCCCTATAGGCAGCTTCTGAAAATTGATCCCAGTATTTACCATTTAAAGTGTTTGGAATAAGAAATGGCAAAGATTTGTCTGAGATAATACAGAGGAGCACTTGCTAGCAGGGCAGGCTTATTCACATGCAATTATCTACTGTTCCCCCATCCCAAATTGTACTGTGGGCATGTCAAATGGGGTCAGCCAGCTCATTTGCTACAGGCATACACCACTGCTGTTAGGATTGTCTACTCATCACATTGCATAACTAGGGTCTTGACCCACAAACGCAAGCAAGGAATTTGGAGGACACTTTCATTAAAACAGGTGTACTATTAGCCAGGATCATGCTGACTAAATGAAATGAATCCGCCCTTGTATATAGAAATAAGAAGAAAAAGGGTAGTTTTGCACCATGTTTGTTTGATGACACAGAGGTGTTGTGATTATTATTGTATCTCTCCAAAGGTTTACATCCTGTCCTACTCTTCGCTCCCTTCCATTAAGAGATGGAGCAGAAATTCTTACATTTTGATGCAAGGTTGCATCAGCAGTGAAACTTTGATTGCTTCCTGAACTATCTATCAGAAAGGGCTTTGCTCTTTTGTAAAGAAGGAAACCAAGATGATGGTTTTGAATATTTAATGGTAAGAGGAACTGAAATGTTATGAAATGTTTCCAACATAGACATTTTTACAGACAAGAGAATGAGCTAATCTTAAAAAATAAACATAGAAAATAATAAGAAATTAAAACTGCATGACAACAGTTACTGTATGGTTAGTGTAATTGCAGAGGCTGCACCCATTGATTTTTGTGATGGAAAGGATATTAAGGACGTTCTTTATTCTGTAATCATCCAAGCTAAATTTTAAGATTGATTTGCTAAAACAGAGAACTCAACATTGAAAAAGAAAATTGTCTTTGTTGTGGATTACAGTGAAACATCACAATTGTTAATTACTCTGGTTGCATGTATGGCTGCATGTTTCTTGCATGCAGTTTATTCAAAACTGTCATAAAAATGTTGGCTTTTTAAACTTGGAAGCAAGTGCAGATTTTAATCACTGAGTCTTTGCATGTAGCACAAAGGTCATGATAAGCATAAAGGATATTTTATGTGAACCAGCTGGGCCTGAGAGTGCTGCAACATAAACATAGAAAGCCAGATAACAAATAATATAATTTCAATAGCAATTATTACTGTTTGGAGAGCTGAAAATAGCTGAGTTACTTGTTCATACTCATATTTTGCAGAAATTTGCATCATGATAGTAAACCTGTTTTCCATAATCCAGCATTGTCAAACCCACTGATTACAACTTCCTGCTGGCTTTCATTCATTAAATAAAAAGAAGCCCTTTGAAAACCACTTAACTTTCTTATCTTGCACACTATTCCAGGTTGACTGATTTTGAGGGTACATTTTTAATGTTCCTAATTTTTACTATGATTCTGGAATTGTTAAAATGTTAACAATTCATCATAACATGATGGAAACAATAAGAAAAGAATAGCAGCAAATATTGTCACCAGTCTTCTTCTTGTCCCCAAAATGGAGATGTTACCTACTGAAATAACTGAGTTTAAGGTATAAGACAACTTTATCCATGGTGAGTGGGAGTATAAGCACAGTAAAGTACTGAATATATTCCACAGATTATTAATAAACTTGTTGAATGCTATCACTGTCTCAGACAAGATATGGCAAACAAACTACTGTCCAGAAGAATATAAGGTGAATCTTTAAGACTGGTATTCATTTGATGACAGAAGAGAAGAAGCAGTATTAAGAAAACTATTAGAACCTTTTCACTCATAAGTAGCTCTATTTCGAATCTGCAGCCTAGTCCAAATGAATTTCTGAAACTGTTAAGATGACCACTCAGTTAAAATTAATTATTAGTACAGTGTGAAGGAAGCTGTTGTAACAGTGACAGAGATGCAGAATTAATTTCTGCCAATACGGTGCTAATACAGTACCATGACACTCCTGTTGAAACAGCAGTCTACATACCACATTAGCACATTTTTTTCCTTAATGTTCA